ATTATCTGCATGGAAAATAGAATTCAATGTATCCACTGAAGGCTGGTCAAAATAGGATGATAAATAAAGCAGACATACAGTAACTGAACACAAATAAGGAATAAAAGACAAGAAAGGGTTAATACTGTCACCATTACAAGCAAGAAAAGAAAAAGAAATGTTGTAAGCAAATTAGGGAAATCATAGGAAATTTTATAGCTAAGATAGAACCATTCAAGAGTAATAATTTCAAATGGGTGATAGAGAGAAATGTGATTAAGGAAATATAGAAATATATAAAAATTCTTTACAAATGGGAAAACTGTACTCAGAACATTCAGGAATTAGCTTTAGTGGAAGTGAGGTACAAGCAAAAATAAACAAGTTTTCAAGTTGCAAAGCACAGATGAAATTGCCACTAAACTACAAGAGAAAAGACAATTAGATTGATGACAGTTCTCTAGAAAGACATATAGAAGAAGGTTGTGGCCTAAGGCTCGAAAAAGAACAGTGTACATATCTTATCTTGAAAAAAGAGTTATGCAAGAGAATTCACACCTTTCCAAACCATTGCACTAATTCCTTGCACAAGCAAAGTACAGTATTGCTAAAGGAGAACAGAGTAATATATGCAGAACAAAATGCCAAATGACCAAGTAAGTTTTTGATAGCAGCATCTGCAGCAAACTGCAATGATGCCAAAATAAGGCCACGCCCAAGGTGATGCTATCAGGCAAATACCACCATTTTGTACTTACATCATGATATCTGATTTTAGTACGTAGATTGTGGCATTTGCCTGATGACTTCCTACTTCATTTGTGGTTCCCGCCCCAAGCAATTCTCTCCTTCCATATCCTATTTTCAAAAAAGGAAAGGCAGAGCGATGAGAAAACCAATAACCAGCATAAGATAGATATTGGAGAAAGCAAGAGGTTTAAACCAGGAATTGTATCTTTATTTAATTACTTAACTAGAACTAAGCCTGTGATTACAATATACAAATCATACAGTTTAAAGATAATGTCTTCATTATTCGTATCAGGAACCTTTGCTAAAGGTTGCAATAACTGAATTTGGAGGAACAGAATGGCTCAGAATGAGGAAGGCAGTGAGAGAAGGATGTAACTTGTTCTCATATCTGTTTAACGTACTGTATGTGCAGCAATTGTTTTACAAAAATGGCAATGGGGACAAGGATAAAACAGGAGGCCAAAAGATGCCTTGTTTGAATTATGGAAAATAGAATGGGGATAGCTCATTATGAAAATAAAAATAGAAAGCAAAAAATCTAAGTTGCTATTAAATTCACCCATTGTGCACAGTGTTGACCACAGACTGACAACACAACTTGCAATCACTAGTCACAATGGAGAAAGGAGTTAAAATCTGGAAATGATTTTCTTAAGCTAATTTATGTATAGCAGATATGACGCTTAAGTCACAATGCACAGTTGCCTAAAATTAGTATTAACCAACATGCTTAGTGAAGATACAATTAAAAGCAAAGAAATGATGTCCGTGGGGGTGTGTGTCAAAAATATCAGAACCATGTGGTAAAAGCCTTATCTCTATTTTACCTGCATGATGCACATAAAAAAGAAGCAGGATTTTAACTGAATGGTTATGGCCATCACCTTGACTTTTTTTTGGCATGCATAAAAAATAGAGGGTACTTGTTTGTGGCCACCATTTTTCATCAACTCTGTAAGCAAAAGTAAAGATACTTTAGATTTCTTGAGCACCAGAATAGATAAATGTGAATAATGTGCTAGAGAAAATTAATCTTGGGGAGAGAGGCAATGACAAACTTAGACATGATCCTGAAGTATAAGGATATTTCTACAAAATAGAGATCATCATCATCATCATCATCATCAAGTTGGAAGGGACCTTGGAGGTCATCGAGTCCAACCCCCTGCCCAGGCAGGAACCCTATACCATTTCAGACAAATGGCTGTCCAGTCTCTTCTTAAAAACTTCCAGTGTTGGAGCATTCACCACTTCTGGAGGCAGGTTGTTCCACTAATTAATCGTTTTCACTGTCAGGAAATTTCTCCTTAGTTCTAGGTTGCTTCTCTCCTTGATCAGTTTCCACCCATTGCTTCTCATCCTGCCTTCAGGCGCCTTGGAGAATAGCTTGACTCCCTCTTCTTTGTGGCAGCCCCTGAGATAATGATAATTTACAATAATTCCCTTCTAAATATGGATCTGGAAGTGGTTATCATGGATTGCAAGAAGAACCAATCACTCCCTCTTGGTCAAATAAAGGCCGAGGTTCCCTGGAAGTGACATTCAACGCAAAGTCATGTTCTTTGAACAAATGTTGCAAGCAGATAACAGTCTAGGAAAAAAAATCATTTATTCAACTTAGTATATGTTACCCATCTCACTGATAAGTCAACTCGGGGCAAATATACCTGCAAGAATTCAGGGAAAGGAGAAGAAGACAAGGAATTTGGTAGAGGGATTGAAGAGTTTTCAGAGTATCCTTGGAAGAAGTATAATGTATTATATAGCAAGATGAGCAGCATATAAATTCGTAAATGAATATTATTGGAGACATGCCAAAATGGCAATTGCTAGGAGTCAGCTTGACTGATTGGCACCCAACACATTAATCACTTGCAGAGTATACGTCTTAGAACCAAATGTTTTTTCGGCGAAAGGAACAAATTTCACAATGTGCCAATTATCTGTGGGAAAATTCAAACCCATGGATTGGGAGAAGTCAGAGAACGTGAATACTGCATTTATTCATAGAGCAGGCAAAAGGTTAAGAAAGTGAGAAGGGTGAAAAAGCAGCTAGCATATATCCAAGCTTATGAAATTGCTATGTTTTTCATTTTATTTATCAGTTGGTATACAGCTTAAATAATACATTTAAAGGTGAAGGATCTCAACTTATGTTCATGCAAAAAAAAGGACTCCCCCCAAGTTCATATTCTGGATAATATATTGGTTTGTTTCTTGATCATCTTTTATGCAAAGTATTACTGTAAATGATCATTTGTGCATTGTTGAAAAAAAGGATTCTATTTTGCCCAAATCTTGCATATACTAACTTTTACAGAGAGATGAAACAGTAAAAATAATTATAATTTAAATAGAATTCACCAGACAGTGGAAGACTGTGGCTAGAAGACTAAAATATGGACGTTGCTTGTATGCTAATTCTTGATGAATAATGTCAAAGCCTCCATTTCCCCTTTTTAGGATTTATTGTTTTTTCAACTGGACTTGGATTAGACAATCAGTCTGACAAATAAAGGCTGCTTCTACAAGATTTGCTGTTTTAAATTAAAGATTGCTCTGTAAAGCATAACTCTGCTCTAAACACGTTTTTTAGTTTGACTTAATCTCTTGAAATTTTAATCTGTTTTTATATTTATAATTATTTTTACTTCCACATAACAGAGTTGGAAGAGACCTTGGTGGTCTTTTAATTCAACCTCCTGCTCAAGCAGAAGACCCCTATACTATTCCAGACAAGGGGCTGTCCAGCCTCTTCTTTAAAAGCCTCCAGTGATGGAACACCCACAACTTCTGAAGGCAAGCTGTTCCACTGGTTGATTGTCCTCACTGTCAGGAAGTTTCTCCTCAGTTCCAGGTTGCTTCTCTCCTTGATTAGTTTCCATCTGTTGTTTCTTGTCCTGCCTTCTGGTGCTTTGGAAAATAAATTGGCCCCCAAGTCATCCCTAATTTTGCTGCTTCTTACCACTCTGCTCTTAGATTCCAATAGATCCCTGGTTACAGTTTTATTATTCCAGTTTCACGACAACTTCTTTCTTCATTCTCCATTCCTGTTCTGTGTACTTGAAAAGTGCCTCTGTACTAATTATGACTGATTTCACTTCTCTTCCTTCAAATCACTCTTTGCAGCCCACATTTTGGGGAAGCATTTCCATTCCTTGTTGAAACTGAGTACAGGTAGTCCTCCACTTATGACCCTAACTGAGCCCAACATTTCTGTTACTGAGAGGTTTGTTAAGTGAGTTTTGCCCCATTTTATGACCAGTTGTTAAGTGAATCACTGCAGTTGTTAGTAACACGGCTGCCAAGTGAATCTTCCCCATTGACTTTGCTTGTCAGATGGTGGCAAAAGGTGATCACACGACACAGAGACCGTCATAAATATGAGTCAGTTGCCAAGCATTTGAATTTTGATCATGTGACCATGGGGGATGCCATAATGGTCATGTGAAAAACGGTGATAAGTCACTTTTTTCAGTGCCATTGTAACTTGGAACGGTCACTAAATGAACGTTTGTAAGTCGAGGACTTACAAATAGCTGCTCATTGCATCCCACTTTGCCTTTACATCTTCCTTCCCTCTGCTGAGTTCTTGCATTAAGTTATAGGTTGGGAATTCTTTGGGGGGAAAAAAGTCTGGCATTTAGTAAAGTCTTTCATATTGACAGTAATGTAAATGAAACAATAGCCATATATAATCACACACACAGAATTTTCAGACTGCTTGGTCCATGCCTAGCTAAGAAGGAGTAAATTCAGTTTGTATAAAACAAGCAAATCACACTGATTTCTCCATTATCCCTAACCCACTAAACTTCTTTGTAGCATGAAGATTTGAATCCTGGTTCCCAGACTACTAACTGGACATTCTGTGTTGCACCACCTTTAGTGACTGAGGCATCATCTCTCGCGACTGATCCAGAGACATGATTTCTGCTGTTTCCATAAAGTTATTTGTTACTTTGGCTTCTATTATTTAACTCTGCATCCTAGCATAATAAGATCACTTAAAATATGAAATTAAAACTCATACCAGAATGTACCAGAATAATAAGGCAGCATGGTTCCAGTGATGCTATCCAAGGACTAATCACCTTAAGATCCTTCAAAAGTGCTTGCAGAATTATGAGACAGCAAAAAAAAAAAAGACTTATGCTTTGGAACAGTTTTTTACTTTCCTAAGGTCACATAAAGAGTATGGGCAGGTACCTCTGCTTGCTTAGCCACACCTATCCTGAGCTCCATCCCTGGAGGGCAGGCAACTTTAAGGTAGCTGAACAGTTAAGATATCACATACCCAAGAGGAGGAAAGGAAACTAGAATCTAGCCGTGTAGAGTGAGGACTTGTGTGTGTGTGATTTTGAAAAGAAAACAGCACAATGTCTTCAGCGACAGCTACAGCTTCTTTACCCAGTGGTGCTACAGTCCTGGCTTCATTTCCTGACATTCTTGTTATTCCTGAGTTTGTGAGTATAGCTTTTACTTCTTTGAAAAATCTAGCTTAGTTGCTGTAGAACACAATATAAAAACTGTCTACCTTTATTTTGAAGGTTGGGCTGTAATCTAAAAAGCCCTGGTTAGATGCCTTCAGATTTGTTTCACGGGGATTCTGAAAGCAACGTTTTTAGACTTTCCAGTTTTGCTATACCTTTCCTCCCAACACCAAATACATTTTTAGTGGAATAAGCAATAGTTTACTAGAGTGAATTATATTCTGAAATCAGTAATGCTGCTGGGTAGCAAGGGGTGTTTTTAAAACTAGACTAGCAAGGAGGTAACATGGGCCTCCCACTCCACATTGATGGGCTTCAGAGTTAAAAATCTCTATTTTTAAATGCCAAGAGCATGTTTAGTTGACCTTCAAGGTTATACTCTGCTAATTCATGCATATAGCAGGTGCATGTTGTGCAGGTGTGCAGCACTCAAGTAGCTAATTATTTGGCTGAACTGGTGACCTGTGTACTGAAAACCAATCTTCAAGGTCTATTGAGTTCACTGTTTCCTGGAGAAACAAGGAACACCACTCTCTCATGTGGAGGGCTTGGGTCCTTTAATAGATATTAGAATATGTAGAACACATGCTTGGAATGTGAATGACTAGAGGAATAGCTACAGTTGCAGTGATTGTAAAGGCTAAGAGAGATTGACAGTATTTTGTCCAATGCAGCTCTCAGGTTTCTGAGTTGATCAAATTTAGTAGAGAATATTTTTTTTCATAGCTCACCACATCCATCCTGGGAAACTATCACTTTTATTCTTTCAGGGAGTTTGGAGGGGTATATACACAGAGCTTATTTTTTGCTCCCTAGAACAACTCTGTAAGACTGACAAGGCAGAGAGAGCCATTGAAGTTCCATTCTTGAACTTAAAGAATGAATGAGGTTTTGAACTTGAGTTTCCAATATTCTATGTATTTACAGTGAAACAAGGAGCTTTATCCTTAAGGTAGGCATTCAACAGATGGTTTCCCAGGGAAATACTTGCACCTGAAAAGATGATAGCTTAGTGACTTTCTACCTCTTTAGGAACCCTGCTAATTGGCAGCAACAGCCTTAAGTTACCTTTTAGATCTGCGTGCTAAAAGAGCCTGTAGATGCTCTTACCTATGTCTGCTATTATATTGCAGCTCTACTTATTTATTTTTTTAAGACTTAAGGCATGGGGTTACTAAAGAGCTACCCAGAAAGGTAGTATTTCCTTCTTCATTGAAAGATTTGATATCCTCTTCAAATCTTAAAGTGCTCATAATAAATACAAGATTGTCCAGATTAATCAAGTCTAGTGACTTAGCAGGGCAGGGTTCAGTTGTGGATATGCCTTTTCAGTCAAAGGGATTTAAATGTTTATTACTGTATGTGTCCTGCATTTAATGCTTTGCACAGCTTTAATCTCTAGACATGTCCAAGCAATTATTTTAAAAGATCAGGTCATTTCCCTATAAATACTGGTTGAGCCTCTGTGAATGGGTTCATACAATACTCTAATCCCAGGTAACCAAAGCACAATTGCTATATTCTTCTATCAAGCTCTGCCCAAACTGAGAAACATGTTATTGGTTATTGTGATGGCCTAGTTTACACAGCCTAAGACAAAGACTTCATTGGGCATTGAATGGGTTCAGCTTTTGTCTTCTAAAGTTTTAATTGTAGCCAAGTGCAGGATGGTGGATTTGTCAGTAGGGCTATACATGCAGGAAAACTAAGTGGTAGCTCACTATCTAAACTAACAAAAATAGTGTCAGTGGGAGGGGGAGCAACTTCCCCTCCAATCCTACAGTTTCCCCAAAAGACCCTCAAAATGTTCGCTTCATACCTGGAGTGGCCATTAGTTGCTGATTTCTTGAGAAGAAAAAGACACATTATTCTATGGACTTCCTCATCCAATAATTAAAAAAATGCCAGCGGCATGATTATTCTGATATACAATCTGTCCTTCAAACCATCTTTTTCTAAACCTCCATTCATAACAGAAGGCATACAAACTTTCTTTTCTTTCATAGAATTAAGGAGGTTAACTACAAGATATAAATATTTTAGCAATCAAAATCAAACAACAAGAGAGATTGAATAATACAAAATGCCTACGTGAACAGAAAATTTTGTCCTATTAACAAAATGCTAGACAATAATATTTTCCCAGGGTGTTCAACCAAAAATATGTCCTAATTGAAAGACATATTTTGAAAAATATGTCCTTAGCTGTCATTGAGACAGAATCTCCAGTTGCAATCAGGGAATTATCATGTCAGTCTCAGCTTTGACATGAAAATCACATTAAATCAGCTGTTTTTACAAGTTCCTTCTGTTTGGGAATCTCTGGTTGTTGACATAGACCTGCGTAGTTACAGTACTTCTGAACAGGATAGACTATGGGGAAATTCCAAAACCTTTGCTCTATTAGTTCTGGTGTTTCTAGGGATTGTGGCAGGTCACTACATTAGTCAATTAAGGGTCTAATCTCTGGGTGGAACCATACCTTTAACATCTGAATCCATACCATTCATATATGGATGCTAGGTGATATCTTTTCTGATTGGACTATATGTCATATGGTGAATTCTACCTGTATTATGCATTTATAAAAATTATGAAATGTGTAGCATGTCAATTTTTTTAAAGCAACAACTATAATCCCCAGTTATATTGTAAAGTGAGAATGTGAGATTGGTACATAGTCTAGGAAAATTATTATGTTGTGAAAACAAATAAAAAATAAAAATGTAGCAGAGAAAATTAATCTCTTCTTTCCTTTTCTCATCTATAAACAAACCTTTAAAGCTTCCCCATTCAGTACTGGTCAGCAAAAAGTCCATTCAGTGTCTTTTCTATTGGCCTTTTTCTTTTTTCTTCTATTCTTTTCTCCTTTTTTTCTTGCACCTTCTAAACTTTTTAAATTTTTCCTTTTTAGTTTCATTTACTGTGTTTATTAAAAACTTCAATACAAATTATAAGGAAAAGTATTATGCTGCAATCTTGCTTTTAAACTTAAAGGATTACATGATGAATAATGGTGACTTTGGTTTACTGGTTACCACTTTAGCTTCCCACTGGGTTATCTGATTAATACAGCTGTGATGTTCTTTTTGATTCTAAATATAATAAAATTTTAAAATATAATTTGAAGGGCTTAACATTCTGGAAAGTGGATAAAACCAAAACAGCTGCCTTTCCAGATTTCTGTCCCAATTTTTTTTGTTAATGTTATTATATCTCATTATTCACTGAAATTCTTTCTGATCTCTAAGAAATTGATCAGGATGGTTTGCAGGTTTTAGGAGCAGAATAAAATGTTATATTGAAAGAAACAGTAAGCAAGAATTAATTATCCCAACTTGTTAAGCAATAAACCTTTCCCCTAAAGCACGGGTTCCAAACTCACCACATCACGTGATGTGTCGTGAGATATCACAACTTTTTTTGCATTGCTGGAGCTGGGGTGGGCGCGGCCTCCACATAATGCAACCAGCCTGTGGGCTGGCAGTTTGACACCCCTGCCCTAAAGCTACATCCAGCACTGAACCAAACCCAATGTTCCTCGGTTGTGAAAATGGTGTTTCTAAGCCAAATTGGAGGGCCAAGAGGATTACAAAAAGTTTTCTCTAAGGAGAAATCTGCTATTCCCAGTTTTAAGAAGAGAAGACTGATGTGGGAAATGGCAACACACTAGTATCCAGAGAGGTGGTACACAAAAGGTGTCTGAGACATCTTCTTTTGGCCCAGATGACAGTATCTGAAATAATGAAAAACAGAGTGAATTTGATTGACATGTTACAATCCTTACTTAAGGACTACTTCATGTGATATCTCAGGTGAAGAATAGTCATTTCTCTACCTTTATAGTGTCCAGAGACAGCTGGCCAGTGGCCTTGTTTAAGGAGACCCAGTCCCTTCTGGGCAAGGAGGAACTACAGGAACTTTTGTTGGGCCATTGAAAAGATTATTCTAGACATCTATTGGATAAAGTTATTCAGAGTTGGAATCCAGTTGTACGGGTTCTGTGGCATTGCCTGAGGTACAGTCTTGCCTGGTTATCTGGAAAGAGTACTAAGAGTTCTGTCAGCTCTAATGAACTGGATAGGGTCCTTGAAGAGATGAGTTCAGCCACCTGTATTTTAGATCTCTGTCCTTCCTGGTTAATTAAAGTTTCCTGGGAGCTGGAAGTTGCTGGACTTGTCTATGGGAGGGGAGTGACTCTATGTTTCTTGAAGGAGGCTGCCCTCCTTAACAGATGCATGCTGGACTTAATGCATTTGGACAATTTGTGTATAAAATGTTATTAGTTTATTGTATACGATACAATGAAAATACAAAAGTAAATAGCGGAAAAGATGGGGAAGGGAAAAGGGAATAAAGAAGTGAGGAAGGGAAAAGAAAAAAGAAAAAAAAGGCATTGACGTTCGACTTCCTTTGGTGCAGCAAAGTAAAGTATCAACTTCAAACCTCAACTTATTTTTACTTTTACAAAATAATATAAACTAGCCATTTCGATAACTTCAAGTCTATCTAATTGGTAAAACCAAAATCAAAATTTCATTTTTTTCAACTTCAAGCACAGAGTTTAGAAGTGGTTTCCACATAGCAATAAAAGCGTATTCTTTTCTTTAATCAGTACAGTTTAGCCATCTTTGCTAGATCCATCAGCTTTTAAACCATTCCTCCACTGTGGGGATCAATGTAGTCCTCAATTTCTGAGCGTAGAGTAATCTTGCTGCTCTCAACATATATAACATCAAAGTTCCAAAAAATTTTTCCACGTCTTTGTCCATTAGCCCCAAGAGAAAAGTCTCTGGTTTTCTTTTTATATTCACTTTAAGAATTTTCTGTATTAACATTTGAATCCTACTCCAATATTTTCTTGCTTTATCACACATCTACCATAAATGGTAAAAAATCCCTTCTTTACCTTTACAGTTCCAATATTCATTGGAAATATCTTTATACATTTTTGATAACTTGTCTGGTGTTAA